ATGGGAAGCAAACCTCCTGGAGCGATGTTTTTTCAAGGCTCGATTACTCCACGGCGAAGAGGATTCCGAAACTGAAGTGTGTTTCGTTTTCGGGAGGCTCTCCACGAGACGGTTCCAACGCCTCCCGCCATTTTCGGCACCATCACCGCTTTTCCTGCCGAGATATCGAGCTTCGAAATATCGGTCCAGCGGTTGTGATACCTTGTGCAAACCTACGGGTAAACTGGTCATCAGTGCGCGGTTGCTCTCACCTCGCGGAGAGAGTCGGCGTCGTTTCTCCCCGACCCCGTCGTCGTCGCCATCTTCTCCTCCTCCCTCCCCCCCTGTCCGTACTGCGCCTCCGCCAGGCCGCCAACAGCGGGCGGTGGTGGTGGTGGTGGTGGCGGCGGCGGCGGCGACGGCGACGAAGGAGACAGCGAAGAGTCCAGCGACACGTCGGCGGTGGAGCAGCCGCTCCCGCGGGGCGACGCGCCCGACAGGGCCGCGAGGGCGTCGTCCACGACGGCCGAGAACGATCGCTCGTGCCAGTGCCGGTGGTGGTCCTGGGGGCCCCCGTGGTCCATCGTCAGCCCCGGCTTCGCGCTCGCCGCGGCGGCAGCGGTAGCGGTGCCCGGAGTTCCAACCTCTGGGCGTGTTGCCGGCTGCGGCGTCGGGGGCGGAGGCGGCGCCACGTTGCTTGTTGCCGCGGCCATCATCGGGTAGGCGGCACGCGGAGACGGGAAAGCGGGAGGACCTGCAGGCGCCCCCGCCGCCGCAGCAGCAGCAGCCGTTGCGTGCGCGGCTGCAGGCTCTTGCGCGAGAGCGGTAGTAGAGAAGGCGCCCGAAGCACCGATGAAACCAGCACCGCTGCTGTTGCCGCTGCTGTTGCCGCTGCTGTTGCCGCTGTTGCTGCCGCTGCTACCGCGAGGGAGCACCAGGTGAGGTGCCGGCGACGCTGGCGAGGCGAGAAGGTCTCCTCCTTGGGCTGCCGTGGTGGCCCCGGACGCGGCGGCACCGGTAGCGGTAGCGGCACCACCGGCGCCGCCGGCCACGCGCGGCATCACAATCACACCGCCGTTGTCGTTGCCGTAACCGCCGCCGGCGCGTGGCATCATACCGCGTGGCATCATACCGCCGCCGCCATTGTACGCACAAGACGCTATTGAATCGTTCGACACCATTCTCTGCAGACGCATCGCGCTCCTGCCGGCTCCCGCTCCTCCTCCTCCTCCTCCTCCTCCTTCCCCCTCAAAAGCGTACGAATACGTCTCTTCCATCGGGACTGAAGCCTGCCGAGCGCTCCCGAGCCCAATAAGACTCGCCGGAGAGCTGGCCGCGCCGCCGCTTCCACCGTCCTTGTCGTAGTAGTCCCCGCCGTCGCCGTCCCCGCCGCCGCCGCTGCCGCTGCCGCTGCCGCACGGTGACCCCAGGCCGCAGCCCTCGGCCGCTTCAGCGAACGCCTCGCCGTAGTTGCCGAGCAGCCGCCGCGGGTCTTCGTCCCGGCGGCGGTGTTTCGACCCGCCGGGAGGGACCCCCGCGACCGGCGGCGCCGCGAACGGGATCCTCTTCACAACGGGGGCGCGCGGCGCCCTCGGCTGGGGTAGGGGCTCCGCGGGCGAGAGGAGAATCCTCCTGGGTCTCTTGCTGCTGCGCCTGCTGCTGCTGCTGCTGCTGCTGCTGCTGCTGCTAACAGAGGCCTGGGGAGGAGGTGGTGGCGCCGCTGCTGCTGCTGCTGGCGCTGCTGCCGAGGGTCGGATGACGGTGGTGGTGATTGGTTGGAGTCCAGAGCGTGATTTCCCGCCAGAAGCAGCAGCAGCTGAAGCAGCAGTAGCAGCAGCAGTAGCGGAAGGCTTGGCTGTCATCGCCGCCGGCGGCGGCGGCATGCCGGTGGTCCGGCTGATTTTGCCCAGCAAGCGAGAAACGGGCGAGGTGTGCCCTGCTGGTGGTGGTCGCGCTGGTTCCGGGCTTCGCCCGCTCGGGCTGCTTCCCCCTTGCTCATCCATGGGCTCTACATCGTCGTCAGCTACCTAGGCACACAGGTGGGAGCAGCATTGGTGGCAGAGATATCGGACACCAAAAAGATGTTGTCATGTCATGTTGTGGTTCAAGAGATCGCCTCTCTTTTCGTTCGTGCCTGCAGATGATACGCCTGCAACAACGTGACCAGACTTGAAGAGCTGCATAGAGGAGAGAGGCATCAGCCGCTGTCGCCGCCGAGCTAGCGGCCGCGCGAGTACCTCGAGACTCTAGCCCTTCGCGTCGATACTAGAATAGATCGGGCATGCTATCTACACTACAGCAGTACCCATCTACCCACCATCCACAAGAGATGGCTTGTGGGAATACCACTCGATGAAAGCACAACAACGTCAGGTGTGAGTACCACCCACGAAGATCGATGGATGAACCGCAAGCTTCCTCCTCTTCTGCTCGGCAGCATCACGCGAATAAACACGCCCACCTCATCCTCGAAGCTAGGTAGATCTGCACCGGAAGCCAGGCCCTCGTTGCTCTCGTTCATGGCCAACAAGCTCTGTTCCTTTTCCTTCTCTCTTGGGGTCGCCCGGGAATGGGTCGCGAATTAGCGGTCTCCAGGCTCTTTTTTTTTGAAAAGGCCGCAGCAGACATAGATTCACGGCGCCCCCCCGCCGTTGGGTGGGTGGTATCATGTGTCACACCTCCGCTGGATATATGTTTCCGCAATGTACCAGTACTACGTGATTCTAAGAGGGTTTCGTTAGCCCCTCACATGCCCTTCGTCTTGTACGCCTTGTTGCCTTGCGCTTGAACGCAATGCCGGGAAGATGTGATGCGATGCGATCGCAACGTTTTTGTAGGACAAGGTTCCGCCCAATTCTACCGCATGCATGTAATGCATACTGTAGTACGTCGCGTGGTGTGGCAGCGGGTGTCCATGAGCACGAACGTGGAGCACTGCGTGCTACATGGCAGGGAAGGGGAGTGGATGTCGGACACAACATGTTTTTGTTGTCGTTAGGGAGAGCTATGCATTCAACAAGCAAGTCTGTCAGACTGTGTAAAGCTCAAGATATATCTTTTCTTTTCAAAAGATACCCGCCGTTAGAGCCGGTCTTCTTGCAGATCGTCGCCTCGTTTTTTTTATCTATGTACGACGATCTGATAACGAAGAGTTCAAAGGGAAGACACAACAAAAAACGGGCGCCGTGGGTGTGGAGAAAAAAGTGAAAAAACAGCGCGGCGACGAAAGAGAGATAGATACCGCACGGGTTCTGGGGGAAACGCCGCAAAGTCGCGCACTGCCGTGCTGAAGTTTAAGTTCCCCGAGTACACCGCGGTGATGCATCACGTCATTCGGGTTGTTGGGACAGACAAAAAACTGATAAGGGCCCGGGGGGGGGGAGGGGGGGTACTGCAGAGTCCGTTTTGTTCTAACATTCGTACCCGCCAGCATCAACCTCCGAGTCGATAGTATCGCTTCAACCCCGCAGGGCTGCGACGGGAAAAAACGGAGAAGAATCCATGCGTCTGTACTGGCCCGTACCGAGGCAGAAGAAGCACAGGCTGTTGTACACATAGGTGCTGGTTGCAAGAGGAGAGAAGATTCCCGAAATAGGAAGCCAGCAGCCGCTCGCCACAGAGTCCAGGGCTATGGAATGAGCGCTATGTGTATAAACGCAAGCAGCAGCACAAACCCAATCCTTGCTCCAACCCCTCCCCTCTCCGGGGAGGCAACCTGATACAGCCAATTTTCAGGTAGAAGCAGTCTTGTGGATTCCTCTCAGTCTACCCACCCCCCGCCCCCTTCCCTCGTCTGGGAACAGACAGGCTACGCCGCCTGGTGGGGCCGATATTTCTCTGTGGCAACACCGTGAATCCTAAATCCCGTGACGACCTACACTCTTCAGAATGGGCATACATGGCGCCGGTTCATCAACACGACAAAATATCGACACAAAACAGCAGCAGCAGCAGCAGCAGCAGCACCCACTGCTGCAGCTCGCCGGCGCCTGTAGCGGGAACACAATTCTTCGAAACGGCGGACGAAACACAAGGAGCAATGTCGCGGCACAAGATCTTTCTTCAACACACCTCCATCATAAACCGCACGAACGCGAGCGGAACCGAACAAACGACGCAACAAGGCAAAAACACCAGCGCTGTAACCACAATTCCGACAAAATGCGGGCACACACCAACGAAACCATATCCACAAGAGAGACTCGGCCGCCGCCGCCACCACCACTACCACGACTACTACTGACATCCGACTAGTCTGCTACGGTCGCCCTCCCCGGTGGCGTTCCTGGCTCCTTGCGGTGCCATTCAAAGAGCTAGTCCCTCTCTTCTTCTTGCTCTTTCCTTGCTCTCCCCCGCGGGCGCCCCCGCGGTCGCCGCCGCCGCCGCCGCCGCTGCCCTCGGCAGCGAGCTGTCGAGCACACCGGACGAGCGACTCCACCTCGTCGGGAGTCGCCTTTCCCGTCCCTTGCCATCGCACCCTGCCCTTCTGGTCTACCAGGAGAACGTACAGCGTCAGGCGGTTGACGATCCCCAAGGCCTTGCGTACCTGTCCGTGCGCGCGCGCGCGTCGCCGACAGCAAGAAAACACCATCATCCATGGTGCGAAACATCTTCATCCATAACAAAGCACCATGATCCACGGTACAACGTCATCACCAATGATGCCTATGGAAAACTGCTGGTCGATTCACTACCTCATGGTTGACGGGGGGAAGAGTATGGCTGATCCGTTCTCGGAGTATCAACCATGCATGCATCGCGGAGAGGGTTTCCTCTTTACGACCCCTGACCGCTAGATTGCTCCTCAGCAGATGGCGCACGACCCCACGGTAGGCAGGCGGTTTAGGTACGACAGATGCAAACTGATGGGTTATGGCGATGGTAAAAAAAACAGCTGATGGATCGTCACGATGAATGTGGAAAAAAAAATAGATATGTAAATAAATCGCAAAACACCATATATCTATGCATACCTCTTCGGTAGGGCCGAAGCGGTAGAAGAACGCTGCCTTCTTCTCCGGGGACAAGCCCCTCCCCATCGTGCTGACCAGCAGCGGTTTCATCATCCGCAGCGGCCACGACTCGAGCAACGACAGGGACAACGCAGACGGCGGTGCCGCCCCTGTTGTCTTCCCGCCCGCCGAAGGTAGCTTATTCCCTGACCCGCAAGGGCGATATTGAGAGGAAACGGCGGTGGGGGTGGGTGGGGTAGAACGCCAAGAGGATGCACCGCCTCCTTTGGAAACAGGCGAACTTCCTGCCGAGGGGGCCGGCAGACAGGAAATCTTGTTCCCGTTTCTGGGTTGAGTTCCGCTAAAACATCGACGGCCTTTCTTTGTTCGGCGGGGTTGGCACGGTCGATGCTACTTCGAGAGAACACACACACGCAGAGTATATTCTGCAGGGTGGGGACATGGACTTGAAATCGTTCGTGCGTTCGTGGCGCTGCATTTATTGTCGTGGTAGTACTTATGTCGGGTTGGTGGGCTTGTATCATGTGCCAGGGACGGGCGTACTCTTATGATTTGCATGCCTTAGCGATTAGACGATTGCCCACGCGTCGTTGAGAGGCCCGGGGATTGTTCCCACAGGACTGGTCAATCACCGACGGCCAATCGTTCCTTGCTACATTGCCAAAGGTGTATCATGTACTACCGGAGGGAAAGGAAATGATGCAAACCCATCAATCCGACAACAGCAGCACAACGGCAGCAAATACAGCAGCACAAACGCAATAACGATTTCAAGTCCATGGGCTCCAATCCCTACGGACGGGAAGAGACGCAACGAAACTTAGCTGACAATACCGTGTGGGATAGGAGATAGGACCAGATGCCGGAAAGAGCTGGAAGCGAAGTGGGCAAACAAGGCATGCAAAACATGAGTGCACCCCCCCCTCCCCTGAAAGAGGCAGCTTGCTACGGAAGCTGGCCGGCTGTACAAGGCGGCCTTGGTTCAAATACTAGTCGCGATGATCGGCAATTGTGTGTACCGAAACCTATCGAGAGGAAAACTGCGACAAACACACGGTTCACACGACACATCTACAGAGTACCCCCGTCATGCGACTCGACGACTGCTTCAGAGCGCTTCGCGCTTGGTAACGTGCGAGCCAGGTCCGGTGAGATCCCGGCGTGCTCCGTCGGCTTTGAAGGGAAACGAGGTCAATTGTCTAACGACTACGCCCCCCCCCCCCCCCCCCCCCC